TACATGGTTGGAGAGCGGGTTCTGCTTCGGGTTTCGCCTATGAAGGGCGTTATGAGATTTGGGAAGAAAGGGAAGCTGAGTCCGAGGTTTATTGGCCCTTTTGAGATATTGAGGCGAGTTGGGGAGGTTGCCTATGAGCTTGCCTTACCTCCCAGCCTGGCAGGGGTTCATCCGGTATTTCATGTTTCGATGCTCCGGAGGTATCACGGTGATCCGTCGCACGTGTTGGATTTCAGCTCAGTCCAGTTGGAGAAGGATCTATCCTATGTTGAGGAGCCAATGGCAATATTGGACAGGCAGGTCAGGAAGCTGAGGTCAAAGAACATCGCGTCCATGAAGGTTCAGTGGTGGGGTCCGCCGGTCGAGGGGGCGACCTGGGAGACCGAGCAGGATATGCGCAGCCAGTACCCTCATCTTTTCACTACCTCAGGTATGTCTTTGTGCTCGTTCGAGGATAAACGAATGTTTAAGTGTGGGAGGATGTAACGACCCGGCCGGTCGTTTTTGGAATTTTTGCCCTAATCCCCTATTAACTGCTTTCCCCAAGTTTATTTCTGCTATTTTTATTTGCCGGGATGTTTGGTTTTGAGTTTCGGAGAGTTTTGGGACACTTAGTCCCTAAATGAGAGCTTAAGTGTTGGAAAATGGTCCATAGTCAGAACAGTGTGAAGACGGCATTGGAACGGAAATCCGATGGTTCCGTTAGCTTTGTTAGGTGATTTCGGGGTTGGGAGCGTGTTCGGAATGTGTTTTGGAGGTCCGTAGCTAATTTAGGCTTGAATTGCCGAAAGTTGGAATTTTGAAGTTTCCGGTCCCATAGTGAGATTTTGATCCAAGGGTCGGAATGGAATTCCGGAAGTTGCAGTAGCTCCGTCATGTCATTTGGGATGTTTGTTTGCAAAATTTCAGTTCATTCGGACGTGGTTTGGTTAGGTTTTTGATCGAAAGCGTGTTTTGAGAGAATTTGTAGCTCTTAGGCTTGAATCATTGATTAATTCGAGTTTCCGATGTTGTTTTAGGTGGTTTAAGGATTGGTACAAGTTTGAATGAGGTATTAGGTGTTGTTGGTACTTTTGGTTGAGGTCCCGGGGGCCTCGGGATGATTTCAGATGGTTGACGAAAAGATTTTTTGAAGTTGAGAGACTTCAGATTTTTGCTGCTTTTGGTATATCCGCATCTGCGGTTTGGGGACCGCAGATGCGGCTTAGTGGACCGCAGAAGCGGACTTGGTGGATCCTTCAGGTACCGCAGATGCGGTTGAATTTCCGCAGATGCGGAACCGCATCTGCGGGTGGTGGACCGCAGATGCGGATCTTGGCCCTTTAGTGAAAGTCGCAGATGCGACAAGAGTTCCGCAGAAGCGGGACCGCAGATGCGGTCCCTTGACCGCAGATGCGGAATTCACTGGCCAGAAATAGTGATTTCGAGGGTTTAGTTTCAAAAGTTAGAAAAATCGAATTGGAGCTCGGGAGAGGGCGATTTTGAGAGGGATTTGAAGAGGAGATCATTGGGTAACGATTCTTTAACCCTTTCTAGTTATATTTCATCAATCTTTAGTTAATTCCATCATCTAATTTCGGATTTTGAATGGAAAATGGGTAAAAACTTCATAGACCTAATTATTGAGATTTGAGTGGGTGTTTGACCTCCGATTTGAGAGATTTTTATATGGTTAGACTCGTGAGAGTACGAGGGTTCCGAAAAAGTTAATTTCATCCGATTCCGAGACGTTGGCCTAAGGGGCATTTTGGTCATTTTACCTAATTTCGCGTCTTAGCTTTGAATTTAATAGTAGAATCAGTTGTTTGAGATGTGATTTACGATATGTAATTGAATCGAATAGATTTAGGCCATTTGGAGTCGGATACTCGTGGCAAACGTGTGGTTTCGAGTTGATTTTGGAGCCGGTTCGAGGTAAGTGGCTTGTCTAACCTTGTGTGGGGGACCTTCTCCCCTTAGGATTGATTTTGTGGTAATTGAAATGCCTTGTGCGTGAGGTGACGAGCGCGCACTTGTGCTACTTGTTGGAAATCCGGTTTATCCCTTAAAAATAGCCTTGAATTATGATCTTTCTTTCCTTGCTTACACTGTTTGGATATTTAAACCTGCTGTAGCTTAGAGCATGTCTACTTGACTAAATTGCTTTATCTGTCTTAACTGCCTTAATTGTACTACGTGTACCATCTAGGTTAGGATTACCTGCTTCATTCTGACATGAAATTGATTGAGTTAAATTTTGTTGATACTGTGTGTTTAATTTGGGACTACAGAACGGTATTCCTGGAAGCTCCCCTGCATGTTTACTTTGGGACTACGGAATTGCATTCCGGGAGATCCCCCTGCACATTATAAGTTGGACTACGGGACTACACCCGGGAGATCCACTGAACATGACATTTATATTGGGGGCTACAGGACGGTATCCTGGGAGACCCCCGGTTGTTACCTTGGATTGAGTTATGTTCTTCTACTGTGTTTTGTTACTGTTGTAATAGTTGTTGTTGCCTTTATATCATGCGTTATTTAATTACACTGTCATTTCACACTATTATCCTGTATTTTACTTAACCTCAGTAGGGCCCTAACCTTTCCTCGTCACTACCCAACCGAGATTAGGCTTGGCACTAACTGAGTACCGATGTGGTGTACTTATGCCCCTTCTGTGCATGTTTTTCATGTGCAGATCCAGGTACTTCCTCCCAGGCGTATCACTCTCGAGGCGGAGAGGTCTAGCAGAGACTTCGAGGTACTTCTGCCGCATCCGCAGACCAAAGAGTCTCTATCTTATTCTAGCTTTAGCAGTTAGCCTTCCTTTCTACTGTTGTTTTAGACATTCTTGAGTTAGAGCAGTATACTGTTTCCTGTTAGCTTGTGTTCCCGTGAGTTTCCGGGTTTTGGGATGATATTGTAGACTTCCGTGTTATGGAATTGTATATGCCAAGTGGCATCTATATACCGTATCTCTTCTAGCTGTTCAAAGTTGAATTATTATTTTTCGCAAGTTATTTTATTTTCCGCATTTTAGGCTTACCTAGTTGTAGAGACTAGGCGCCATCACGACATGTTCACGGTGGGTGAACTGGGGTCGTGACACCTAGCCATTACCAACTACACAAACCAGGTATGGATCGATAATATACTCCACTCCTTAGCTCCCAAGATGCACTACACACTAATACAAGTAATGCAATACCAGTGGAACTTACCATAAATGATTGTAATGACACGGCTGGTCGTTTTGAGAGTGATAGCCCTAATTCCCTAATTACTACTTTCCCGTATCTTTTTTTTGCTTATGTGTCTTGACGGGAGGTTTTAGTTGTGGTTTGGGAGTGCTGGGACACTTAGTCCCTAAAACAGAAGCTTAAGCTCTAGGATTTTGACCGTAGTCAGAACTACATGAAGACGATTCCGAAATGGAGTTCTGTCAGTTCTGTTAGCTCTATTGAGCGATTTCGGACTTAGAAGCGTGTCTGGATTGTGAATTCGAGGTCTCTAGCTGTTTTACGCTTCAAATGGTGAAAGTTGAATTTTTGGAGATTTTGATCGGAAGTGGACTTTTTTATATCGGGGTCGGATTACGATTTTGAAAGTTGGAGTAAGTCTATAATGTTGAATATGACTTACGTGCAAAATTTAAGGTCAATCGGACGTGGTTTGATAGATTTCGGTATCAGTTGTAGAAGTTTAAAATTTCAAAGTTCATTAAGTTTGAATCGGAGGGTGATTCGTGATTTTAGCGTTCTTTGATGTAATTTGAGGGCTCAACTAAGTACGTATGGTGTCTTAGGACTTGTTAGTATATTTGGTTGAGGTCCCGGGGGGCTTCGGGTTGATTTCAGATGATTAACGGATCGAATTGGAAGTTGGAGGAATGGTTGAAGCATTGCAGCTTCTGGTGTAATCGCACATGCGATGGGTTGACCGCAGGTGCAGACTCACACGTGCGGAAGGAGGAGCGCAGGTGCAGTTTGGAGAAGTTTGGTCTGTAAGCGTAGGTGTGAGATTGGCCGCAGAAGCGGAGTCGCTTATGAGGAAAATGGAGCGGAGAAGCGGAGGGCCTGGAGCTTGAGGATCGCAGAAGCGGAAAAATATCCGCAGGAGCGGGCGCGCAGGTGCGACCCATTGCTCGCAGAAGCGGATTTTGGACTTTAAGTGGTCCTTAGTGGTATAGAATAACATCGCAATTTTGGTATTAATTAATTCTAGTATTACTAATTTCGGATTTAAATATTTAATCAAACGCGAGATAAAATAATCCTGCATCAAATTCCGGAATTATTATCTCTTAGACCAACCAAACATCCCCTTAGGTTATATAGTTGTAACCTGAAACTTTTCATTTGTCTTGGTAAAATTGTGAAAGAGATCTCATAATAGTGGGTCATGATTTTTACTCTTTTTGAGCAGAGGATTTCCGTGTAAAATATCATGTATTATTTCGTTTCGCACTTTATTTACCAAAATTGTGGCAAATATTTTAAGAGGTTGAAAATCATTCAAGACACTATTCATCCCCTCCCCTCTAATCTAAAAATTGTGTACTGCAATAACATTTTGTTTAGTGAAAATCCTGACTAACTTCCATGTTAAACAACAGTGGTAAGCGAACTTTTCAAGCGGACAAAGCGGCAACCTGTAAAATGAGTATTTTAATATAGTCAGGTCCCTCTCGCCTACCTAATTATGTTTTTCTTAGCCACCTAACATATTTTGCTGCATCTCGTACTAAAATAAGTAAATAATTAAAATCCTGCACCATCAATTAACGTTGTTATCTTGATTGCCGCGCTGTTTGCTTCAGTAACTAAGCGTCTTTTAGGAACATGGTTGAAGTTAGACAGCTAGGTTGGAATATATTATTTTGACTGGTATAAGGAATTTGGACGTCTCCTCTAGCTTGGAGTCATGAAATTTGTCGTATCTTCAGTTAGTTAGAATATAATATATTGACTTGTAAATTCTGAATATAATATTTTGACTTGCAAAAGTAAGGTAAATAAGGTAAGTAGTCGTGGGATAGCGGTGTGTGTGTATATATATGTATATATTCTTTTAGCTATATACATCATTTGAAGTAGCAAGTTGGAAATTAAACTTTTTGTTTCAGTTCATTAACAGTTGGATTCATGGGCTGTTCTTATGTTTTGCTTCTCTTAAGCTCCATAATAGTAGCTGTACTTGGTCAATGTCATCATCCGTTCCTCCAGTCGTCTACAGATAGTACTGAAAGTCAACCCTACAGAACTGCATATCATTTTCAACCTCCCAAGAATTGGATGAACGGTACATTCGCCCTTTTTTCCAGTGTGATTAACTTTTGCATAATCTAATCAAACGCTTCTTTTTGATATTTGTATTCTCATTGATTTCTGTTTGGTCGATCATGTATAATGCTGGTGAACTGGGCCAATATATACATGACTTCACATTCACAGATCCTAATGGTAAGTTTTCTTGTCTGATTTGTTAATTAGAGTTGCTAAACCAAATAAAAAGGTGAAAAATCATAATAGGATCAGCAACTTAACTAGATCTATCTGAGTAGTGAGCAATGTGGCTAAACCTTTTCTAAAACAATTATGTAAGATTTTGATTAATTTTTCTTACTAATAAGCTATGTTGCTCGGACTCTCCAAAAGTGTTGCCGCACCCGTGTCGGATCCTCCAAAAATGCACTAAATTTGGAGGATCCGACACGCATCCAACAACATTTTTTAAGAGTCCGAGTAACATAGCTAATAAGCTCCTGATACGTACTCATGACTTCATGGCCATCTCCACAAATTATTAAACCTGCAGGACCAATGATTTACAAAGGAATATACCATTTGTTTTACCAGTACAACCCCAGAAGTGCAGTATGGGGATACATAGTGTGGGGACATTCTACTTCAACTGATCTAGTCAACTGGAATTCTCACCCTCCAGCACTTTTGCCTTTAGACCCATACGATATCAATGGTTGTTGGTCAGGTTCCGCTACAATTCTACAAGATGGCAAACCAGCTATACTCTATACTGGAATTGACTCCAACAATAATCAAGTTCAAAACCTAGCCGTGCCCAAAGATCCATCAGACCCTTATCTTGTAGAATGGATTAAATCGCCTCATAATCCAATCATGGAACCTAATGCTGTGAACAAAATCAATTCTACTTTGTTTAGGGATCCAAGCACGGCTTGGTTAGGCCCCGATGGGCGATGGAGAGTCATTGTAGGAAACGGAAGAGAGCACAACGGAGCTGCTCTTTTGTACAGAAGCAAGGATTTTGTACACTGGATAGAAGCTGAGCACCCCCTGCATTCGTCGAATGAAACTGGAATGTGGGAATGCCCTGATTTTTTCCCTGTATCAAATGACATTGGTGAAGATGGACTTGACACTTCAGAGATCAATTTTCCAGGAGTTAAGCATGTACTCAAGACCAGCGTGTTTCGTTCTCTGGTTGAATGTTACACTGTTGGAACGTATGACCATCAGAAGGATATATTTATCCCGGATGAGGGATCTGTAGAAAATGAATCAGGATTAAGATTAGATTATGGAAAGTACTATGCTTCCAAGTCTTTCTTTGACAGTGACAAGAACAGGAGGATCTTGCTTTCTTGGGTCAACGAGTCTACAAGTTCCGATATTGATATCATCAAAGGATGGTCTGGTCTTCAGGTAATAATTCGTTTGGTTCCATTCGTATACTGTATTAGTTCGCTAACTCTTATCATTTTCAGGCGTTTCCCAGGAGAATTTGGCTTGATAAATCTGGAAAGCAATTGATCCAATGGCCAGTAAAAGAAATCGAAAAGCTAAGGACAAAACAAGTTAAGATACCAACTACAACACTAAAAGCAGGTTCAGTGCTTGAAGTTTTAGGTGTCACCGGTGCACAGGTATACATATATAATTCTTTCAATCTAGCTTTTGAACATTGGTAAAGAGCTTCTTCAGGTAATTAAAATCGTTATTTGTAATATGGGCGACCGTTCTAGTTTGCTAACAGATGTGCTAATTACTTTTAGGCGGATGTAGAAATTTTCTTCTCAATCCCAATGCTTGAGAAAGCAGAGGTGCTTGAATCAAGTTGGACTAATCCACAAGAGTTATGCAGCCAAAGAGGTGCATCAGACAACAGTGGTGTAGGCCCTTTTGGTTTGCTAGTCTTGGCCTCAAGTGACATTCAGGAATTTACTGCAGTTTTCTTTATAATTTTCCAACACAACAACAAGTTTAAGGTCCTAATTTGCAGTGACCAGAAAAAGTATCTCTCTCTCCATTCCTCCTTTTTCAATACCTAACCATCTGCTTGCTGCATCAAAGGAACATATATAATCAATCGCTTTACATTTACGTTTAAACTTTGTATACCACTTAAGTTGTGATGAATTTGTATCTTGAATGCGGAGAATTGCCGGTGTCCAGATTGGTTATCTACTTGTAGATTTAAATCATGAATATTTCCAATGCAGGTCGTCGTTGGGTCTTGATTATGACAAAACCACGTATGGAGCCTTTTTGGATGTTGATCCTGTTAAGCAAAATATTTCACTGAGGACTTTGGTAAGTTTCACTCTCAAAATCCAAATCTCCAAAACTTTTGTGAATATTGCAACACATGTAATATAGTCTAGCTCCAAGTGTTAACTGTGATGGTTGAGATCAAAGCAGGCACTAGGTCATGTGATGTCGATCACAATACGAAATGAACCTAGTTTTACAAAAGAGATTGACCATTACCAAGCCCAAATCACTATCTGAAAATGTTCCAAACTTAATCCAACCTAGGCATGATCTCACGGAGGGTAATATAGCGTGCAGTTGTTTGTCCATCTATTTCGTTGTATGTTAGCTAAACCTGTGGCGTTAACATTGGTGACATCCAATCCTACACCTCTTTAATAAAGTGTAGCACGGTCGTTAGCAATAATAAACCCAACAAAGGTTGGGGTCGAATCCCACAAGGAGTAGGTGTGTGTTAGAGTGTCCTAATGCGTGCAAACTCGATGATTCTTAATGTAATCTTCAAACAAAGAGTGGTTGTTCAATTATGTCTACAATTACTACTAAAGTTTGACCAAGGAACCTCCAGCTGATTCATTGGACTTTCGTAGATACAATCCGGTTTATTGCAACTTTTGTCGATGGCCCGTTCATCTTACTCATCCCAGAGTCCCAATTTTATTGTTATCGCTTTTCCCTTTAGAACACTTATAGATGATAACAACACTGAATAGTTGTATCCTGCTGTTGAAATTTGGCCATCTTTTTTTGGCACGGGTGCTTGCGTTTTTATTGATTCTTTTGACAGTAGTCTCAAGACCTAATTCATCATCATTGCCGCATTCCAACTTATGAATTGGATTCCTTCATTGATTTTTCTTGCTCTGATTCTGATTCTTTTTTCTTCTTTACACATTATTCATATCGATCCATCTTTCTTTTATACAAATAAACACCTAACAGTGCTTGCTTAATAATCTCTTAGCTCCCACTCATGATATCAACAGAGTTGTAGTTACAACTTGATCACCCCTCGCATCAATATGAAGCGCGACTTTCTAGAAACTACCATAGAAAATAACACAAAACTTTACATGAGATCCAAAGGATTCTATTACTTCTTCTATGAGGTGTTAACTAGACTCATATACTTTTTCTTTTTCCTTTTTCTTCTTTTAACAGATAGATCATTCCATAGTAGAAAGCTTTGGCGGAGGGGGAAAAACTTGCATCACAGCTAGAGTTTACCCTACTTTGGCCATCAACGACAATGCACATATGTTTGTTTTCAACAATGGATCACAACATGTCGAGATCTCCAATCTGAGTGCTTGGAGTCTGGAGCAAGCTCAGATCAACTGAAGCAGAGGATTGATCAGGTCACCATTGACAATAATTGATTAAAGCTTGACTTTATCAAGCCCTTTCTGTCCTTTTCTCTTTTTACTATAATTCTCTTTGTTTTGGTGGGATGTCACCACACTGCAGAGTTCTCATATGCTTGAAGAGTAAGACGCCACAAGATAATTAGTTTCATGACATTTGAAATTGAAATCATACAAAATACGGAGGAAGGAATAATTATCTAAAAGAACAGAAAAAACTACTTAAGCAATATAGAGGCAATGAAAGTCTGTGCCACCATCTAAATATTGAAGCAACGGAATGGTTCAATCTATGCTTCTCATCTGTGCATTGATTCACAGAGCCACAGAGATGAGATGTTGTCATGGAAAAATCCAATAATTGAGAAAAATTTACATTGCTTCTACTAAAGATTAAAGTAGCACTGTTGTAATCACATTTGATTAACATGTCCCTGTGAAGTAGCACTGTTATAATTACCTTCAGCTGTAGCTTCAACATTATTTTGTACAACACATTCATCAACATGTCCCTGTGCACCTGCACTTGACTAAAAATCTACATATTACAAGTTAATATTTAAACAATGGCATGACTTTCTGATACCTCAAGCCTAGCGTCGATCGACAGGTAACTCCCGTAATTGGCCCCTAAGCTCTTGACATGCGTCTGTAAACACAAAGTACAATCCACGACAAGCTTTAATTTTCCTTCTCTGTTATAGCACCCCAACCTGGCCAGAGATTCTTTATACCTGTCGCGACCCAACTCCCAACCAATGGCCGTGATGGCACCTAACCTCCAAGACTAGGTAACTCAATCACATAATGATATAAAAGTAACGAAATAAGATATAGCAAGTTTGAACTTAACATAAACATTGGAATAAAACTCCAACAACAGCCAGTATACTAGTACGAGTCAAACTTCCAAATCCAGGCAATACAGAGTCATGAGCTCCAACCTGAATAGATAACGAGTCTCAAAAAGTATAATATTGTCTGAAAGTAATACAACAATATAAAAAATAAGGGAAGGGGACTCCAAGGGTCTGCGGCGTATATGTAACACTACCTTGAATCCTCTCGAACAGTCAAAGCTCACTCTCGAAGTCCATTACCTCCAGCACCTGGATCTACACAAAAATATGCAAACGTGTAGTATGAGTATGAGATAACATGTACTAAGTGTCAAGACTAACCTCGGTGAAGTAGTGACGACGTTCAAGTCATGTGATACTCACTAATCAGAGAACCTGTGCAATATATCAAATTACTGGAAACAAGAATATAACAATGTGTAGTACCATCAACTCAACAAAACAAGAGTTATCAGCTTATCACAGGCAATTCAACTTTTGACAAAGGAACTATCAGTCAATAACAGAGGCATATAGTAGCATGTTAAAAGCAACATGAAATCATGCAAAGTGCATAACAAGCCATAAAGAATTCCCTTGCATAATCAATAGCACCAACCTTATACTTCACTCATCATCAATATAGAAAACCACCCTTATACTCCGCAAATAATCAAATAGGAATGCCACCCTTATGCACCATGATATCAATCACACCAATCACAGTACCACACTCCGCTTGTACGCCATCAAGAGAGAAGCATGAGAGGACCCTAAAGGATGGATCTGTATCCACATGCTGCATGGCAAAAATCTCGTACCATAACAATAACAATATCATAATACAGAATGTCACCCTTATACTCCATACATCATCAAAATCAAGAATACCACCCTTATACATCCACCCATCATCACAATAACAATATCTTCACAGGAAGAGACCTCATGCCGACACCCAATCAATCCGTCCAACATGTCTACGTGTGCCACAATCATAAAAATTCAAAATACAATTTATCATCAAGAGTCATATTCTCAGAATTCGCCAATAATGTGCACAAGGACATGAAAATAATAAAGTGCTGATGTGCGCTCAAGATATAAGACATGACTACGACTAAATCCATTTAGCAATAATTCCACAAATGCCCATCTTGGCTAATTAGGAGATAAAAATCCTAAAACATGATTTCTAGCATGAAAAGAAAAGCTCACGTAGTCATACAAAGGATTACACATGTATCATCGAGAGCCCATAATCAAATTAAGCATAATGGAAGCTTAAAATCTAATCTGGTCATTTTTCATACATAGCACCCGCATCTATACTCATAACCTCACATATACGTCGCTTTACATACATTACAATTAGAAAAATAAGGTCAAATCCTTAGGGTTATTTTCTCACATAAGGTTAGGCAAGATACATACCTCAAACGGGCCAAATCAACTCTCCAAAATCGCTTTTCCTTTAGAAACCACTTCCGATTGGCTCAAATATATTAAAAAATAACTCAATAAAATCAAATAAAGCCTTAGGAAACAACCCAAAATAATAAACCTCCTATCTTTAATCAAATTCCCAAAAGTCTATAATAGTCAACCCAGACCCACACAGTCAAAACCTGAGTCAAGGGGTAGATTCTGACTACCAATAACCCCATGAATGCAATATATGATTAGATTCCAAAACCGAGTCCAAATTGACTCTCAAATTCCCAATTACACTCTCTTAAGTTGTAGACAAAAATCTCAAATTTTCCAGTAACAATCCAAGTTTTAGGTGTAGAAATCCGTGGGGATTCAAGATATAAAGTAAAATCCAAGTGATAATTACTTACCTCTATGATACTAGTAAAATTTCTTTCCAAATCTCCACCTCTCGAAATCTAGGGTTCAAAATATGAGACAATAGGTGAAAATCTCAAAATTATAACACTTATTGGTCTGCTTAGGGATACAATTCGCGAACGCGACCACTGCCTCGCGTTCGAGAAGCACAAAATTGCAACAACCTCAAACACCCTTCGCAACTGCTGCTCCATACTCGTGATCGCGAAGCACAGTCGCTCCAGCTCTACACGAATGCGAGCACCCTCCTGCGAACACGAAGGCCAACCTCCAGCCATCCCTAGTCTGCCTCATCTCTACGCGAATGTGACCCCCCTGTCGCGAACACAAAGACCAATCAGCCACAACCTAACACGAATGACTAGTCACGAACGCGAACCACAAACCTGCCAGCACCAAAATGCCCTCTGCGATTGCGATACTACCTTCGCAACCATAAAGAAGGGCCTGACAGCAGTAAAACCTACAACTTCCAAAATGCTCTAGGTGATCCGAAACTCACTCGAGCCACCTGGGTCCCCGTTCAATCATACCAACAAGTCCCTAAATAGTAACTAGACCTATCCAAAGGCTTTAAACTCATACGATAACATCACATAACGAATCAAAATCCAAAACACAAATTGACTTCTGTTAGGTTCAAGAACTTTAAAACTTCAAACCAAGATCTGATTCAACGCTAACCAATCCGGATTATAGCGAAACTTTGCACACTTCCAAATGAAAAAACAAACCTATTCCAAATTCCGAAAGAATTATCCAAATCTGATATCATCAAAGTCAACCCCCGGCCAAACTTAGGAACTCTCTAAACCTTTAAATTGCCAACTTTCAGCAAAGAGAGCCAAAACACCCTAGGAAACTCAAAATCCAAATCCAAACGTACGCCTAAGTTCGAAATCACCATACGAACATATGGAATCATCAAATCACCAATTAGATGTAGTTTACACAAAAGTCAAACTTTGGCAAACTCTTACAACTTAAGCTTCCAACAAAGGAACTAAGTGTTCTAATTCACTCCAAAACCTTTTCGGAACCAAACCAACCATTTGCAGGTCACAAAACATCAAACAAGCATAGGAGAAACATCAAATAGGAGAACTTGGCTCAAATACACAAAATGACCTACTAGGTCGTTATAAACCTTCCGAAGCTTTTAAGGTTTTTATTAGTACTTATATAGCATAAAGTGGGTGAAAATATCTCATTTATATTCAATACTAAGAACAAGAAACTTCCATTTTTAATAACTTAATTGCTTTTAACTTATTCTTTGAAGCTTTACAACCTATGAAGCTCTTGAGGGCCCTGGTCCGGAATATAACTGCAGAAGTCTCTATACCGATCTGCAAGAATCTACTAAACCTACTTGTGACTCGTAACACCAATGAACCTACAACTCTCATACCAACTTGTCATGACCCCAATTTCCACTCCAATCCGTAGGATGTCGTGAAGGCACCTAGTCTCTAAGACTAGGTAAGCCTAACATACATGCAGAATTTAACTGAGATAATGATAAAACCTTCAAATTTAAAAACAACTATCAATAAAAGGATTCTGCAACTCAACATAAAGAACTCCCAAAATCTAGTGTTACCAAATCACAAGCTCTACAAGAGTGAACTGAAAATCCCTATACAATAGTATTTATAAAAAAGGGAAATGAAATAGAACTAGATAATGGGTGAATCTCAGGCCAGCGGATGCCGAATGGTATACCTTGAAGTCTCCAAATCCAATCTCGACTCACTGGTGCCTAGGTTGGTAAGAGGTACCTGGATCCACAAAATGATGCGCAGAAGCGTACCATGAGTACACCATAACGGTACCTAGTAAGTGCCAAGCCTAACCTCAGTAGAGTAGTGACGAGGTCAGGTCAATACCCTACTGGAACAAATAAGAAAAACTGAACCGGTATATGATAATATGATAATGATAAACAATGGAAATAAAACACTGAAGAAATATACCAAGAATAGCCACGCTGAACTAAGGCAAAACAAATCGACCCAACACAAGTAATATAACAGAAAACCATCAACAAGAATCACTACCGAGGTACCGCCTCGTAGTCTCATATCACAAAACAAATCACAATCTTTCCTTATATAACCGCGGGAGTCTTGCATTTATTTTTGGAATTTATTTTCCTGAAATAGCTACATGCGTTTTAGGCCACCTTATCACACCGCATGGCTTTAAGTAGTTCCCCTACTAGCAACACGCATATCAAGTCCACCTTATCTCACCGCATGCATTTCAACCCCAATCCTTATACCACCGCATGCGTATCAATATCACAATGTATCACAAATCGTACCTTAAGTGCCCAATATCACAACTTACCAAAAAAGTCAACAATAATAGTGTTCCCACAATAAATAGCCCATGTCTCAATCACAATATGCACAAAGTAAACAATAGCAACCGAAAGTGAATAACTGAACAAGAACGGTATTTCAACAATTTTACAACTTTGCCTCAATATGAATCACGACCTTTATAACTTCAACACCAAATTCAACATCAAGAGTATTCTAAGAAATAATAACTTCAAGTAAAGGAACCCAACGGTTAAACAACGAATAATAATGGAGAGAGCAATAACTTCAACTAAACATGTAAAGACAATTAGCAAGTAAGAGATAAGACAAGTATTAACAATGTCAAGTAAAAATGTGAAGATAGACTAATGATGATGAATATAACATATAATGGAAAATCAATTAAATGCATGAAAGGAATCTACATAGCTAAAACCGGTCAATTTGCACATTTAGCCCGTGTACACATTTG